ATGAAAGACAAAAGTCGTGTTGTGAAATTTGGTGAAAACATATGCCGAAGGGCTAAACTTTTGGTGCGCTCTGCCTTGTGGTAGGGGGTTCTCATAATGTTTCACAAGTTATATTTAATCTTCGGACAAAACCGCGACATGACTTTTGTCTTTGATTGTACATTGTATAGTTTTCTAAAGTGGATGTTATATTTTATATTGTCAATTTTAATTTAATTTATTCAGAAAATGTCACAATTAATTTCTGTTCAAAGTTCATTTTTATGGCAATCAACATGATGAAGAAAACTACGCAATGATATTTGTTTGATGTTTGTTTTTTGTTTAGTTTAACACATTAAAATATCAAGGTACATTTCCATAAAGTGAAGACATGCACTGAGTAATCCCAAACACCTCCAGTACAGTACATACAGGTATATGATCATTAATTGCAGTGTTGAGGATTTTCTTTCAAAGTTTTCCAAACTGGTCTCAACATATGGTCAATACACTACAGTACTGTCATTATTTACACTTTATGTGAAAGTTATCTTCCTGATCCTCTATCTGCTGTAAGTACTGTAAAGTGCACTAAAGTACCGGTATGTGAGCTGTTTTCCATATATACTGTACAGTATGTATAGCAGTAAAGTAATTTATTACTTTTGAAAAACATTTGATTATTTTTATAATGATTTTCATTTGAGTATGAAGAAATATTTCTTACAGCAGATGGAGGACTTAATGTTAAATCTTAAACATTTTTGTGTAGGTACCATAGTATGAGTATTAGTGCATATGACCAATACTGTAAAAATAACAGGTTTAATGTGTCATGTCCTATGTCAATGGTACCTTAATATATTCAACATGAACTGCCATATCCTCACAAGTCATCACTGGTCATGTGGACTATACCCATATAGTAGAGGATGACTGCCATTAAGAGACACACCAAACTCTTATTTTAATCTGGAGATCTTTCAGGTGTTGGCTTTAGCATTTGGTGTTGGGGCTAAAGATTTTTGTGTGGGGGGCAGTGTGTCTCCTGCTGAATGTAATTAATATTTGCTGGGGTAGTTTTTTGAAGCCTTTTGCAAATACCTGTACAGGTTAATTGTTCAAATAGCATACAGTATTAAACATTTACCCTGTAATATAAATTGCTAAAATTTCACTGTGTAAAAGCCACAAGACACTACAATCATGTTTCAGTATGAAGCCACAAGACACTACAATCATGTTTCAGTATGAAGCCACAAGACACTACAATCATGTTTCAGTATGAAGCCACAAGACACTACAATCATGTTTCAGTATGAAGCCACAAGACACTACAATCATGTTTCAGTATGAAGCCACAAGACACTACAATCATGTTTCAGCCTGTAAGCTACATAGTGTATGCACCACACAAACATCTAAATGGCTCTTATTTATATAATAATGTCTAACAAAGTCCATTAGTTAGAAATACTGTTAAGAGTGGCTTTACTCTGGGAAACTGTTGCCGTGACCCAATCAACAGGAGCAAAACCTTGATCCATACAAGGCGCTGGATTATCTTACCATAGCTCCTGCTGGGTCAGGAGTTCCAACTTTAAACTTAAAAATTATCCCCATTCTTACTCCATGACCTTTTGAGTCTTCCAGTAGCTGTCATTAACTTGCTGCCATACATCACTTAAGGCAGCTTTACAGAATTCATGGTTCTTGATTGAAAAGAGTGACTCACTCTTATCCTCTTAGAATCTCCTTTGCCAAATACATGTTTATCCTTATAATTATTCATCACCTGCTTCACTGTCCCATAATCTGCTAAACCTCACTAACTCCTTCACTATGGGGATGCCACTTTTAATATTTTATTTGGATAATGCCAGACGATTTTATTCAGCTCAGCGACACAAGGGGTTAAACTGAAAACTAACCAAGAAATAAAACAACCAAAAGTTCTTACACTCTCTAGGTGTACAGAATCATTGTCATGTCTAGTACTGTACCAGACTGATCAGCTTAAGAGGGGAGTATGGCACAGTACTGTACATATAACTGTATACACTTGGGGTGGGTCGGGCACATCAGCTCTGACACAGTCTAACAAGGTGCAGCACATAAGTGAAACCTTTAATGGCAATAATACTGCTCAGGCAGAGATTGCAGAGGCTGGCCTCAAGTTATTGGTCATCAAAAGTGTTGAAAATAACTGTTAAATAATAATGATCATGTACTGGGGGGGAGGGGAAGGAACCAGGTGATTTCCTAAATAACCTGTGACACCACTTTTAATATTTTAATATACGTATTATTAAGCACAGACAGACCCCCAGTACCCAAGTGGTTAAACAGTTATTGTGTGCATAGCTTATGAATAATTAAATGATAAACATATATTAAGCACAGTATACAGTACAGTACTGTATAAATACTAACTTCTTGTTTTACTGTACACTACATGGAATTGTTATCACACAAAAAGTGGTACAGTATGCTGTACACTATATACCTAACTAGTGCTCACTTGTTACTGTATAATATAGTATATGTATACTGCTGATGTGCTTGTACAGTAGGTTAATCAATCATACTACACAGCTAAACAGTACAGTACTACTGTATAATGTATTATTTTCCCAGCAAATTACTTTGAAGATAAACACATTTAGCTTAAATGTGTTAATCTAACTGTTCCAAATGTACCTGCTGATGGTAGTTCAGTACAGTACTTGCATACAGTATTATTGTAATTGATTGAGAAATTTTTCTCCAAAGTGGAGTTTTGCAGATTTTCGATATACTGTACTACTTTACTGTATTGTTGAAATCAGAATTCTGAATTCAATGATACCAAATTTAGTTTGGTAAAATTTGTTTCTGGGTGAAACCAATGACATTAATGACCCAATAGATTAAATATATGGCAGGATACGCGATGTGTATTTATTGTACATTAAGCACAAGACACTGATGTTGTTATAATACTGCACTACTGGCATTAACACTCTCTTCACCTTATTTTACATTACATGTCAATAGTGCCATGGCTCCTTTATTGATTGCAAATGTTAACAGTTATTCCTCGACCTAAAAATTTTCACCAACAACAGGAGACTTCCTGCCATCTCCCGAGTACTGTACTGTACACTGAGGTATATGAGGCAGCACATTATATCTAAGTGTAAACTTTTAGAATTTATGTTCAATGGATCTAGTTATGAGGAACAATTATACATGAATAAGAGTACAAACATTGGGAGTCCGAGCCATCATATTTGGGAGTCCGAGCCATCATATACTAGGGCTCACACTAGGAGCAATAACGTCACGTGCTTTAAAAAAGACCCGACGAACACGACAACTGAATGATTTTTAAGGGAAGCAGATGACATGAACCCCAACCCAACTTAACCTAACCTCTCAATAACTAACCCAATATTGTTAGTTAAGTTAGGTTTATATCCTAAAAAAATAAGCAGTTTAGAAGTCCAGTTTATTAAATTTTTTATATAAAAAGAGTACTACAATACACCTTACAGTGCTTCAGCTCTGATAGGTGTCACGATGACCAACTTCTTATTAAGAGATCACAGTACTTATTTATAAAGAGCTACATATAGACCTCTCTCACAACAATAGATAAACACACACTGATTCTTGTACAGTATAAGGAAATTTGGACTGCACATTCCTAAATTCCCCGACTTTACTTCTTTTTTTTTCCATGTGACGGATGTCTTTAAAAGTGAGGCATAAAAGCACCAAATGACTCTATTCTTATATACTGTACAGTATATATATATAGTATACACAAGTTAGATGTATGTAATCTGAAAACCATATTATTCGTGACTTTAGTGTCTGGGCCAAGTTTCACCTCAAAATAAACTAAAGTTATGACTGGGTAGAATACTTTACAAGACATTTATTCTCCCAACACACGTGGATTTTTGTATGTGTTTAAGTTAGCAGACACTACTGTAATTCTTAAGAGCCTCAATCCAAAACATACAATATAAATGCCCTCTTTATGCCTCAATACTAAAAATAAGTACTGTATAGCACTAACTTATAACATGTGATATGACCCAATCAGACTCATTAATATATTCTGTTAACTGTTCTCAAAGTTAGATTATGTATACATCATCTTTACAAAACAGCTTTATACAACCATCATATTTTTTAAATCTTTGTGTACATCTTAATAATTAGCGATGAACATTTTGAAATATGTTGTCTTGTCATATTTATAAACCTCTCAAGATCCATCAGTGTCTCTAAACATATCTAAAAAAAGTCCCCAACATATTTAAACGTGTCTAAAAATAATTTGTTTAAACAGCTTAGTCAGTAAACAGCTCCCAGTACATACCTCTTAACATCCTTAACTCTCTAAACATATATCTGTAAAGATCTCTTAACACCTTTTAAACAGTTCACAGTACAGTACTATATCTAAATACCCAATATAAGCATCTCCAAAAGACAACAGTGCAGTATAGCGCTGCCTTATGATGGGTCACTATACCAGCGTCATAACACACACGCACGCATGCACACACACACGCGCGCACACACACACACACACACACAATTGAAATTTTAGCAAATTGATCACAGATGTTTCTATTTTGTGGCTTTTAATATGTGTTGTGAGTGTACTGTATTGCATGTTAGTTTTCATCTCTTAATGGCACATACATGTAGTGTTTACTGTATGGGAGCATTATCTCACAACTCAGGAATTCTCAGCTGTTGAAACAGATGTTGGAATAAGTTTAAAATCCATGTTTTTATACCAAATACATGATTCGTTTTTCAAAGTTTTGTTTACTTGGCAGCTATAAAGTTAGCACAGTTCACATCCACAGTAGCTGAGAACATGATGCTGTGAGGTACTGTACTTTAATGGTTGGGTTAATAGCATATGCTCTGGCCAGTAGTATCATGCCTTTAGACATACTTATGGTGCATGATGGGATGTGTTAAGCAGCATGGATGCATGTGCATGATTGCAGGCCTCTGGGAAAGATGAGAGTCACCCTCCAAATGCTGCAGAAGCCCAAGGACAAGAAGACAATAAGCAGACCCATAGGAATGGCAAGCCCCGGTGCCCCTCACCCATCAAACATGACAAAGGGCTTGGTGAAGGTGTTAAGACCAACATGGGTTCAGACACATGCAGTGCGTTGCATCTTCATGTTGCAGGGAATGTGTTGAAAATACCAAAAGCTGATGGTTTATCTATGTTAGAGGAAGAAGGCTCAACTGGCAGACAGCCACGCAAGGAAGACAGGGGCATCGCAGTCAACGTGCCTCCACGGCCAACCAAAGCAATCACGGGTTTGGATTTAAATCCGATTCTTAGGCGTACAGCTGAACCTAACATCCCCTTGCTGCATAAGAAATCGGGCCAAGTATCCGATCTTGAATTACACTTATATGTCTGGAATGAATTATTGTCTGCACCTCCCTTGCCAAGCCGAGCCCCTCTAGGAATGGGGAGTGATTTAAGGGCCACGTCCTCTGTCCCCGACACACTATCTGCGAGCACGGGACATAATGTCCACAGACAGCCTAAGAGAGCTCTGTCTGACAACAAAAGGTTTAACAATTCTGGTGGATCGTCCGTAGTAAGTAGAACATTATCACTTTCTGGACCCGACATAGTTATGGGGCCACCCGTACCTTGTAGACCATCGTCGGCAGGATATGATGCATCTCATCCACCAGCTGTGCCCATAAGACCAAGTTCCCAGGTTCAAAGTAACCTCAAAATGCCATCAAATATAAGGTGGCAGTCGTCGTCACAAACAAAACATTGTAACTCGATTAGCAAGAGACGTTCATTGGAAGGTATGCCTGAAACTAGACTTAAACAAAAGCTTCACAATGCTAATTCACTTGAAGAAATACATGTCTCTTTCCCAAGTCTTCATGGCGATCCCAAAGACAATGAAAATAGTCCACCTTCCTCTACTCTATGTGATCCTTATGACAGACAAGACAAAAATTGGTGTTTAAAAACTATTGCACCAGCGAATCCAACTGGGATTGGTCTTCCGAGGAGAGGCCAGTGGAATATGCGTGTAGAGAGCCCCCTGGCGCGGATCCCAGCCAACGAGAATTCGTTACCTCCACCAATTCCTCCAATACCTCTTAACATACAGAAGGAGTTTTCCAAGAGTCACATAACAACTCATAATGATAAACATGGGGAAAAGAATCAGGTATCAGTTATTCTTAATGATCTAGAAGGGGTAGTCTGTAAAGATTCTTATACTAAGGTAGTGACTGATGGTCCAATGGAATTTTTATCAGAGGAAAAAGAAAACAAGAGAGTATTCTCAGGAACAGCAAGCACGTATGACCGCCCGGATTGTCCAACAAAGAGATTTTCGGCAACAGAAGACCACAACAAAAAAACTGAATCTATAAAATGGCCAAAGTCCAGTTTTAATGATACTATGATTAATTTTCTGGACGAGAACATCCGCGAGGGCCGAGCTTGTTACAGGAGCAACCCGGCCTATGACCTGGTGTTTCCCTCACAACTACGACCTCCAATACCAAAGAGAACCAACAACTTAAACCACCACTGTGACCACGATGTAAAAGGTGCTCTATCCTCTGATGGCTTGAGTTCAGAAGTTCTTTCCTCGTCTTATGACAGCGAAGAACATTACCTCACCATGGACAACGGGGCCAGGCCTAAGAGATCATCAAGCATTTCTACCGCTGTGTCTGCTCAGCCAGTGTACACAAGCTTCTCCACAAAACTCCATAGGGACTCTCGTAGTTTGGGAACTGTCAGGGTTAATACATCGCACTCCCAGGATGTGACTACAGACGGTTCACAAAGCCTGGAGAAATCTGCTGTCTGCTTACAGAGCGAAGATGAGTGTTCTGGCCAGTCACAGAGTACTGGTATGTTTGCTGACACACCCAACGTCGACAATCAATCACAGGCGCTGAAATCATGTTCTGTTTCTGATGAAGACAAATGGACGCCAGAATCATATGAGAAGGTAAAAAGTTTATGATTGTTCTTTTTTTCCCTTTCATCAGTCTTCAGCAACTCATCAGCTGTGAGAACTGTTGCTGTGTGACAGGTATGTTGGTGTGTCATATGTGGAATGGCATGGTAGTTATAGTCAGTAGAGAGGCATGGTGGTGGGAGGACCGACCACAGTTCTTCCCCTCGGCTGTCCAGGCGATGTCAAACAGTAAGTGACTTGTTCTGAGGAAGTATACTTGAGCCTTGCAACTGTCTCTTCTGACTCACTCTTTCTCTCTCTCTAATTAATTGAGTCTGTCCTTGAATTTTTCTCTCTTCTCAAAACACTTTCGTCAGTTATCTTTTTCTCTAACATCTCATTTATCTCTATAATGTTTCTTTTATCTCACTTCTTTCTCCTTTAACATATCCTTGATTTCCCAGTCGCACAATTCCTCCCTCTACTACTTAATTCAGACTCGGTGTTTCCTCATTATCAGCTGCCATGGTAAGTACAGTATATTGTATTCATTATGTAATGATTAGTTTACCTGTTTCTATTTTTAAGTGTATTAAATGTTTAGTAAAGTCAAAATTAGAAGTGTAATACTCTTTTGCATTGTGTGGGTGTACTAATCCCCCAGCTTCTTCGGAATAATTCTTTTATAAGCTTTGTGTTCATTAGTGTCATGAATCTTTGTGTTTTAAATCTTGCGTGCACGAATCTGTCATGAATCTTGCGTGCACGAATCTGTCATGAATCTTGCGTGCACGAATCTGTCATGAATCTTGTTTGCACGAATCTTTGTGTTATTAACCTTGTGTGCACGAATCTCATGAACCTTGTTTGCACGAATCTCATGAATCTTGTGTGCACGAATCTCATGAATCTTGTTTGCACGAATCTTTGTGTTATTAACCTTGTGTGCACGAATCTTTGTGTTATAAACCTTGTGTGCACGAATCTCATGAATCTTGTTTGCACGAATCTTTGTGTTATTAACCTTGTGTGCACGAATCTCATGAACCTTGTGTGCACGAATCTCATGAATCTTGTGTGCACGAATCTTTATGTTATAAACCCTGTGTACACGAATCTTTCATAAACTTTAACTCATGCACATATTTACAAACATATCCCTAATATGCATCATCATGTGCACTGAAATTTAGCTACATAGGCACTTAAATTTCAATATTGTGTGCACCCAGCCTTATATCCGTGTGCACCTACCATTAAATTCTTGTGAATATTTCTTTTACTTTTTGTGCTCACGTCTTTAACTTCTTGTGCACATGTCTTTAGCCTTGTGTGAACTCATCTTCACTCTTGTGTACACCTGATTCTCCTTATATTTTCACCAAAGTGTAGAAAGATTAAGAGAGCGAGAGGATGAGGCTGATAGACAAGCAGAAATATCCTCAACTTAAGTAGGCATGGAAAAAAATGACGATAATAATAATAATAATAATAATAATAATAATAATAATAATAATAATAATAATAACTGAGCCTTTACACGTTCTCGTTCATCTGTCACTGTCATCGTGTATAATACATGACTTCAATTTTAAACTAAATAAAAAATAAAAAGTAATGTCAGAGGAACAAAATTTACGAAATTTTTCATGTCGCTGTTAAAACCAAACACCTCTTAGGAGAAAAAAGAAACTAATTAAAATTACATGCGAATAAGTTCCAACGATATAATTTGTATTCATTTCGTTAACAATACCACTATATGTAACTTTTTCATCATGGAGTTAGGTGAAGACTAGGAAGAATTATAACTGTTCTCTTTACTTAACATAGCCTACTATTGGTCTCTTAATATATAAAATACAGTACATACTATAAGTAACAAATTAAAAGGAACTGGCTGACACCAGCACAAAATTGAAAAGGCATTCTTAGGTACGAGGAAATATGTTTTATGAATATAATGTTAACTGGAGGTAGTTGCATTTTAATAATAAAGTGGAAAAACTAATTTCTCCTTTATTCCCTCTTACTGTCTTTCCATATTTCTCATATCTTTCTCAGTTGTGTTCTTTCACTCTATCCTCCCGCTTCGGATAACATTCTATCTGCTTCCCGCACATTAAAACAAGCAAACCAGGTGTAAGTGGTATAATAATAATAATAATAATAATAATAATAATAATAATAATAATAATAATAATACTACTACTAATAATAATAATAATGACGATGATAATGTGTGTGTGAGTAACCCGTGTTGGTGTGGTCGCCAGGGGTCGAGGAGTCCGCTTATGTCTCCAGGAGCCTCGCCAAGAGTGTGTCGCAGAGATGACGTCATCCCTCCGCCCCCAGTCCCGCCCAGGAAAGCTAGCCCCGCCCCCAGCCCGCCCTCGACACCAGCCACCACCCATAGGTACGTCACCCCGCCCACGAAGCCTCAACCCGCCCCCATCCACCACACACACACACAGGCATACAACTTAAAACTGACTTGAAATATGTATGTCCACCTCTAGTACCGCCCATGACACACACAGCCCCGCCCATGACACACACAGCCCCACCCATGACACACACAGCCCACCATGACACACACCCACCCAGCCCGCCATGACACACACAACCCACCCATGACACACACAGCCCCACCCATGACACACACAGCCCACCCATGACACACACACATGACACACCCACACACATTGCCCCGCCCATGACAGACCCTGTAGGGCTACCCAGCTGCTTAGAGACACTCAACTCCCACCACCCGCCCACCATAACCACCTTCAGAGCATCACTCACAACCACCAATGAATTTCACCCATAAACCACCCATTGTTCCATTATCCCCCCCAAACCACCCATTGTTCCATTATCCCGCCCATAAACCACCCATTGTTCCATTATCCCCCATAAACCACCCATTGTTCCATTAAAACCCATTCCATTATCCGCCCATAAACCACCCATTGTTCCATTATCCCGCCCATAAACCACCCATTGTTCCATTATCCCGCCCATAAACCACCCATTGTTCCATTATCCCGCCCATAAACCACCCATTGTTCCATTACCCCGCCCATAAACCACCCATTGTTCCATTATCCCGCCCATAAACCACCCATTGTTCCATTACCCCGCCCATAAACCACCCATTGTTCCATTATCCCGCCCATAAACCACCCAAAACCATTTATAATTTCATCGTTTTAGCCTCAAGTTACTCTAGCTGGTATATCTGCTATAATCTCAGTGTGAGGCAATGTTACAGGTGTGTCGGCAACTTTAAAGGTGGCAAGACCCAGCGATTGCCCAGGAGATAAGGGTGGTGTACATATTAATACAAAAAAAAAAGTATCTTTACAATTTTGTGTTAGAGAATATGACACAAGAGATGAAGGATTTGGACATCCCAACAGAAATCACAGTGTTCATTTTGAAATTCATCGGACCACCCTGTAGAGATACGTTGGGGGGTATTGGCTCCACTTCTGTAGTAATTTATATAAGTAATCTGTATCTCACCATTCAAGATCAGGGTTCTGCTTAAATATTGAACTTTTTTTGTTTGCATTTTTAACAGATCCACGGTGTTCAATGACCCTAACCTAACATGACATGGCAAGAAAACTGTTGTAGTAAGATCCAATATATAAATTAGAAGGAAATGGTTACATAATGAGGTAGAAATCAACCCTTGAACGATAACTAATAACCTGGCGCCTGTCCTGATCATTCACGGCGAGAAAAAATGAAGTTCTTAAGCACCATTCCTGTACCATCACTGGAATTTTAAAAGTACTTCAGGCTTGTAATAAAATAGACAATGTACACTTCTCTTGAAGAATTCTACCTCCTACGATTAATATATTCATGATCAATTAAAGGAACAGACCTGCTGTTTTATCTCGTCACTCAGACATCAAACATCTGAAGTGGGACTTGCACTTAACGTATTCAGGCTCAGTTTAAGCACCAAGCATACAATTTATCTTTCAACGTAGAGATGAACCGGTTGGACTGGTTGCGGTGTGGGCGACTTACCACATCATGCAGGGAGATCCGGGTAATATCATCCCAAGGGCACACAGGTACTACGAAGTCTTCTTCAACTATTTTGTCCACCGGGGGCGTCTAACAGAATAAATATACGACACATTGTTGCCTTCATCTCGACAACCCGTGATCTTAGCAACCTCCCTTCCTCAATGAATAGTGTACACTCTGTGCGCCCACTTCCATGTTCTGTTAAAACAAATGAATGAGTCCTCCTGAAACCATCACACAACTGGTTCACTTCTATTACCAGGCTGCTGGCGTCCAAAAGGTTCGCTAAGCCTCACCTCTCCATCCTTCCCTCTCCCAAACACCTTTACCTGTCCAATGGAAATCTTTCATCATGCAGCCACCGTAAAAAAATTGTAAACCTGTTTTCTATTACGTCAGAAGTATTGAAAAAAAAATCGTATATTGCAGTCAACAACATACATCCTGTACGAACACAAATACAGTACAAGTACAATGTGTAAGAAATGTATATCGTAATAATTTAATTGCTAGTGGCTAGTACATTCATGCATGGATTCAGAATAAAAACTCCTTAAAGACCAAAACGATAAAAGCGGACAAAGTTGCACCAAACCAAGATCCTCCAAGTTTTAATTTTGTCCTCAGTAAGGTCAGGTAGGTTTGGTTTGGTTAGGTTAGGTTTTAAGCAAGAATATGCTACACTAGGATGATTTAGGTTATACTGTAGTTACGTTAAAATAGGCTTGGTTAAGGATAGGTTAGGTTAGAAAGGCTACAATAGATTGAGTTAGGTTTGTCACGTTACAATAGGCTCTCCTAGTAACTCATGACTCGGGGCTGCCATGGTTACTCATGACTCGGGGCTGCCATGGTTACTCATGACTCGGGGCTGCCATGGTTACTCATGACTCGGGGCTGCCATGGTTACTCATGACTCGGGGCTGCCATGGTTACTCATGACTCGGGGCTGCCATGGTTACTCATGACTCGGGGCTGCCATGGTTACTCATGACTCGGGGCTGCCATGGTTACTCATGACTCGAGGCTGCCATGGTTACTCATGACTCGAGGCTGCCATGGTTACTCATGACTCGGGGCTGCCATGGTTACTTATGACCGCCTGTAACTCACGACTCTGTCTATCGTTTTTATGATGATTAATCGGTTTAGTGTTTCTATATATTATACACAGGTACAATGTATTAATATATACTTGCTTGTATTATTTATTCACAGTTATATAGAGGTGTTTATACAACCATATACCTGTATAATTGATATAATCATAAATGTAGTTACCTTGAGGTGTGGCCCTGTAGATCGAGTGTGTTGGAGGTGGAGGAAGAGGAGGAGATGCCTCCGGCTCCTCCACGAACACTTACCTCTCTCACGGCGCCCACGGTGGTCACCACGCCCACCACGCCCACCTCGCCGCCCAGGACCATCACCATTGTCACGCTCGACCCAAATAACGTGGCGGTCGAGACCACAACCACAGGTGAGCGGGGGTTGTTTACAGCGGTGACGTCACGGCTCCGGGGTTGTTTACAGCGGTGACGTCACGGCTCCGGGGTTGTTTACAGCGGTGACGTCACGGCTCCGGGGTTGTTTACAGCGGTGACGTCACGGCTCCCCACTGCAATGAAACATGTGCATAATAATGAAAAAGAGTAAATAACACATTTGTACGAAATAATGGTTAAATATATTCATACTGAATGATGGTGAAAGAAATATTGTATAAATTATTTCAAAAGACAATAATGTGTCTGAGGGTTTTGTGTGACAGGTGGTCTCTATACAATGTCTGTCTGTGTGTTTTAGTTTGTTTGTGTATTTTTTCGTTATTTATTGCAGTAGACCTAAAGATAGAGACCTGAAATAAGGTCTGTAAATGCGCAGCCAACATAACTCTCTTGAAGGTGGAAATTTGGGAGATAACTCTTTATAAAGGCCGCCCCTCCCCCCCCCCCTCAATGAAAACACGTCTACGGGGGGGAGGGGTGGAACCTAAAATGGATAATGTAGTTGTTGTATTGTAGATAGTGTAGATGATTGTGTAGTGAATGTAGTGTAGATGATAGTGTAGTGACGGGGGGGGTGAGAAAAACAAACCCAAGCAACATCGGGTACCCAGCTTGTATAATGACGAAAACACTACAAAAAATATATTCAATGCCCGGACTACTGCAGTAAAGTACATGGTGAGTACATACTGTAGGTGTAGAGATTTGATTGTGCACCCCACACTCATCCTGTGAGCGGTAGCGCAAAAGGATTACAGAGTAGAGTTTACAACGGGTCATAATAATTAACCCCCGTTGTTAGGATATTATGGCACTGAATGTTACACAGTATTTCAATTACATTATTTATTTAGTTCTATACATAAAGGGTAACTTATTCACAAATGCGTGAGTACAGGTGTGTGAGGCAGTATGTCTGGCCTCACACTTTGTTATTCACATTTGCGTGTGAAGTATTCAAGCACATTGTGTCTTTGGTTCTGTACATGAGAACTGATATAGTTACTAAGTGCAAAAAAGTGGATACAATCTTAACATGTCGGCTATCTTGCCATTAGAGATGAAGTGTTGTGCCATTTCACACACAGTGTGCTTGGACCTGTCCCTAAAAGGTTCTATCTTCACACAGTCGAGGACGTAGTGTTCAAGTGTGTGGCAGGGTACCAAGGGAGGTGTGTTGCTTAGAGATGATGATGATGATGATGATGGGGTAATGCTTAAGGTGTGTGTTGTCTGTCATAGGTCCAGGGAAGGAGAGGAAGATCAGTGCGCCGTCCCCCCTGCGTCACAGACCCCTCTCCGTGCCTCACATCGTGCCCAGGACCAGCAAGCTCATGAGGGCCTCCGGTTCTAACCCCTCCCTCTCCTCCTCTTCCTCCTCGCCTACCTCCACGCCCGCCACCACGCCCACGCCCCTGCCTACCTCCACTCCAGCCACCACGCCCACACCGTTACCCTCGGCGCCACCATTCCCCTCCCATTTCCCCCCTAGTTCCTCCCCCTCCCCTTCCTTCGTGCCGACCAGTCTCCCCGCCAGTCCTAGCCCCAGCAGTAGCTCTCAGCAGCAACAGCCCATGTCCCCGCTAGGAGGCCCGCCCACCACCACGGCGCCGCCCCCACCCGTGACGGTCATCACTTACACGCCCGTGATGACCTCCGATGACATGACCTCCAGCCCGGAGCCTGTCACCACCACCACCACCACGACCACCACCGTCACCCCGCGACCCCGCACCATCCTGCCCTCCCACTCCACCCTAATGCCCCCCACGCCCGCCACCACGCCCTCTCCCTCCTCCCCCTCCTCCATCACCTCCTCCACCTCCTGCTCGTCCTCCGGGTCAGCCTCTACCACCAGCAGTGGAGGCCTGGAGGTAGACAGGAGAGCCAGCGGGACCAGCCATACTGGGGACCTGGAGGACATCCACGAGGAGCCTCCCTACGAGAACACCACACTACCTCCCCCAGGTAACCTCCCCAGAACACCACACTACCTCCGCCAGGTAACCTCCCCAGAACACCACACTTCCTCCCCCAGGTAACCTCAGGTTCATGACAATGATGGTTGACACCTTAGCTTTATAAGTCCTGAGTTTTGATAACATTAGCGACACAAAAACAATTATCAGCTGATATTCTTTTTAATTGCAGTGTGTCCGGCGTCAGCGAGGAAGTCAGCCACTGACTCCGACCTGCCCAACTTCCCGGCGCCGTCAGCTCCTTCTTTACCGACTATTATCAAGTCCTGGTCGGCTGACAGAAGGTGAGAGAGAGAGAGAGAGAGAGAGAGAGAGAGAGAGAGAGAGAGAGAGAGAGAATGTGTACGATTTGCGAAAGGAAATTTTGTTTGAGATTCTATTCTAGTGGAGCACAGTTGTTTTTACAGGTACTGTGTTGATGCCTCGCGGGTGTCCTGACAATATCTCTTCCTTGTGTGTTTAGCATGAACGTGGCGGAGGGTCTGGAGGGTGAGGAGGCCCACACTGCCTACGAGAACCTTCACATGGACTACTTGGCGACGCTGACGCAGGAAGGTTTCGCCCAGGACGCCGTCATCCGAGCCCTCGTCATCACCAGAAACGACATAGCGATGGCTAGGGACATCCTCAGGGAGTTCGCCTCCAAGAGAAGCTAAAGGGACGCTCCAGCCTGTGCCCCTCACACTCGGAGGTTTACAATGCCAATAGATAATCAACGCCCCTCTCTCCCCACACTCTCTATGTTAAGTTATTTATATACAGAGCTGTGCCACAAATGCGTTTTTAAGGACATTGGGAGAACTGGGCAGGGGAGGACACGGGGAGGTGGACAGTGTGGGAGAAGTGCCAAAGTTTGCGCCTCGGTGTGCCGGAGCAACTGTGGGAATCACCATTGTGTGTTCTTATCTGTATATTTGGTAAGGTCTCTCTCTAGTTTACAAGAGGTTTCATCCCCCCTCGAAAAAATAAAAATGATTAAAACCTCAACTTTGGTGCTCCTCTGAAGGCCATTGTTTATGTATATTTATTGAAGACTCGGGACCGTCAGATGACCTACTGTACGGTAGGCCGCCGCGACACACGTCCAAGTCGACAAAAGCCGGGGGGACTTTTTTTAGTGTTCCTGACAGTATTATCGGAAGCGTTATGCTGAGACTCCAGTGTCACTGTACAGTATTTATCTTTGGTTCTAAACAATTCAAAGATGTACAATATATTATTACTATATCTTGGACGAGAGAGGGCGTCCCCAGCGAGACTCAGTGCTCACACCAAACTCCATTAATCAAGTGTTCTCGCCCTGGGCTGGACGCCGTGACATGTGCCAAAGTGAAAGCTGCCATATGGTGGTTCCTTAGTGCCAACTATACCTTGCAGTGGTCGAGTAAAATTTTCTACAGGTCTTTGAATGGTCAAGTGGTGAGACTTAGTGCGACCGTTGTTGTGCCTGCAAGAGTGTGTAAGGGCATGCGTGTAGGCGGCGAGGGGGTTTAGGATGTGCAATAATCTCACGCCCTCATCGTCTGGCTGTTGCACCCAAGTTTGTGTGTGACCAGATCATCACTGAGGTCTCCATGGCGCTGGTTCCTAAGTACACAAGACATTAACATTTTTTTTTGTAGAGAAGAATCATTAAACGTTGAAGTAATCTGTTAATTCAATTATATGTAACTTGGTCTCGTTCGGGAGTTGGTCCCTCATACTTGTGGCATTTGATGATAGGGTTGTACCTGACCCTACACACCTGCAGGCCCTAGTGACACGGGTGTACCTGACCCTATACACCTGCAGGCCCTAGTGACACGGGTGTACCTGACCCTACACACCTGCAGGCCCTAGTGACACAGGTGTACCTGACCCTACACACCTGTAGGCCCTAGTGACACGGGTGTACCTGACCCTACACACCTGCAGAAGCTAAGAAGAAGGATGGATCTGGTCCCACAACTACTTGTCGTCGACAATGTTAAAAAAAGAGATGCAATCACATAAATCTATACTACTCAGAGGTGGCGCCACTACGAGTTGATGATATGTACATACATTATAAATATTATATATATACATATATATATATACATATATATATATATATATATATATATATATATATATATATATATATATATATATATATATATATATGCATCATCAGAAGGATTATTAGTATCAATTTTGTGTGGTTTTCACTCTACTAGTGCCACCACATTGATGGTACTAGGTGCTGGATAGTACCTGGTTACTGGTACTCTCAGTATATATTTCTTGCACTCCTCATCATTTCTCATGACATTGGATAGCAAAAAACCTCAAACATATATATATATATATATATATATATATATATATATATATATATATATATATATATATATATATATATATATATATATATATATATATATATATATATATATATATATATATATATATATATATATATATATATATATATATATATATATATATATATATATATATATACAAGAATTTAGGCATTTGATTCAAGTTGCATAATTGCCTCCATGTGATTTACAAGGGCTCTATGTTAGCCGACTGACCATTTTCTGTAAAAAAAAGGTACTCCACCCAAGTTCAGTTCACTATGACCGGCAGTCTTGTGTGTCTAAGGTATCGACAGCCTCTCGTGTGTGTATTAATAATCGGCTGCGTTATGGATGAAAAACAACTTCACTCGATACCTTTAAACGTAATCAATTGGCCTAATGTTAGATGAGTCACCACCCAGGGGCCGCTGAACACATGTTGACAAGTTTTACAGCAGCTAAACAGTTCTAGGAGATAATAAACACTGCGTAATTTACTACAATATTCAGTTCTCTTTGCCTTATAATATGGTTTAAAATGTCACTATAACTTTCTCAGCATTAATGAAGTACTAAGCTTCCTTATGGAATAATCAGCCAAGATAAGTTTATTTAAGTGGAATTAGTTAACACCTGTTTATTAACAATTAAGTTTATACCGAATGAAGTCCAAATAGAGTTTAATGGTGCTAAATAATTTAAAAATTAAATATAGACATACTGTATATTATTTCCCAGTTTTCAGTTGGACACAGTACAGCTCAAGTTCTGCTTCTCGTAATTTGACCATTTGTTATGACACTGTGCCGGAATATTAAAATATTTCGTATTATCTAATTTATAGTTCAAACGTCTCCACTGATCTTTCTATATTTTTACAACAAAGGGAGGGTGTTACAGTACATAAGCTTGAAAAGAAAATTACCGTGAAGTCAATATTATGATTCCCTTCGTTGATGGTCATATATCAGAACTCGGTTATTGCTCGTATGATCAATAATACACCAAGTCTGATGATCAAACGAACAAAAAATGAAATATACAGTAAAATATATGATGGTTGACCTGAAGCTGCCTGGTACCGTAGACACACATACGACGATGCTGGCGAGGACTGAAGGTCGCAATTTTGAAACCTATTCACCAGGACGTTAGAATACACGTTCCTGATCAACACAATTTGTTTGATCAAGGTTAAAGTTTCCTTAACGAACTCGGAGGTGTTGTGGGCTTTACGACACAGCAACATCCCGCTGTGTCCTTTCTAGATACAATTCATTCGCGTTGACATGATCCCAACTACAGTGTTAAAGTAGGAAATACTAAATTTATTCAGATGGTTCAGCATGTGGATAACTTTTAAAACATTTTCTGGTATAAATAAGAAGACATCAGTCACCATGTTGTTAGTCGCAGCCCCACAACAGAGGAAAGATGTTTGTATAAGTGGGAGTTGTATCTGACTACACTGACGAATGGCTTTCTAAATGTGCTGACTTTTCTGACTTGTTTGGATAATGATAAACATCTCATTTGGGATGGTGCAAGCCCTTTTTTCTATTTTATTTTATGATATTGTAACTATAAAATGTTATTACATACAGGTATTACATTATGTAAGCTCTAATTTACAATGCAATCTATTCATATTTCAGATGATTTTTTCATAATTTATAAAATAATATTTTCACTATTTTGTAAAACTGAAAAAAAAAATATGTATGTACGCCTTTTCTATGTCTGTCGTAAAGTCCTCAGAGGTGGGGAGCAATTTCCCTTTTAAAGTAATTAATATATACTAGAAAATTTGCTCTCTTCAAGTAAGATTCCGCTGGCAATACTGGTCAAGTCTGCACCCAGTACCCGGCCGATATAATGGAGTAATTCTTCTAATAAACCTTATTTTTTTATGATACTTGATGATATATATATTATCCATACTTAAAATTTTACAATAAATTCATCTGAATTTGAGGGATATTAGTTTTATAAATCGAAAGAAACAAAAAACACCAATATTTTTCAACTGTAAGTGGATTTTTTTTAAGTTTCTTGATTATAGGGAAAATTAAGGCAGTCAATATTAATATCACCAAGTTACATAAAATAAATAATTACCCTGGAGCATGACTCGGTTAACTCGACAAAGGGTTGAGTGGTGGGGTGAGGAACTGACGGAGTAAGAAGATTAGACTAGAAAGTTTAAAGGATAGATACATGTGAGACTGACCACGTATTATGGAACTACAGTATCGTGTTCCCCAAAAACTTCCTGAATCGATCGAAACATTTTCAAACATTATTGCGACGCCAAGTTTGTCAAAAAATAAACTTAGTAACTTTGTATATCTTTGGCTAAATATTTGACCAATGACAAAGATGAATCGATTCTTACTTTGCTGTAATCTGACCAATTGGGAGCCTGGTGATTAGCTCGATATCTAAACCAACAAGTTTGGGTAGAGACGGTGGTAGTGGTGGTAGTGGTAAAGACTATCAGAACGGTGCCAATAATCTTGCGAAATCTTACTTGGGGAGAACGTCTTATATCCCTGTTGATAAATTCTTAATGTTTTATAAATTTCCATCATTATCAAAATTTAACGTCTGTGTAGAATGGTAAAGTTATTCTTAGAGGGGATTAAAAAACCTATTTAACAAAAGAAAAAAAGTTAACATTCACACTATAAATATCTAGAAATTTGAATCTAAAATTTATCATCAATATTTTAACTTGAATATTCCTCCCAATAGGCATAGTCATACGATTATTATTATTATAGAAACATAGATGAGAACACAGCAATCAGATCAGTATTTGTGGCCTTATTAGTCATTCTGATTGTTTATTAATCAAATGGAAAAGGAAAAAATATCCTCTCTTTCCCTTAAGGACAATTAACTAAAGCATTACCGTGTGACCAAGTTAAGGGAGCCGTAGGTTGCAGTCACAGAAAAGCAAATCTATAACGCCAAAAGATTATAGGGACCACATGAATGATGGGACGATGATAATTATAGGGAGTTATACAATGGGTGGGAGTTAGGGATTAAATATTGACTCACAGGGTTAAAACAATATATATATATATATAATTCCAAACTCGTCCTGGGTCTAAATTCTTAGGGATTCGTAAGTCAAGGGCAGTTTGGACGCGGTTTTGATCAGGCTTGTGTTGTGTGTGGGAGAGCCCGGATAGGTGCGTCGGTCTCCTTACAACCTTACAGTTAGCAGTGAACCCTTTTAACTTACGATACTTTAAGAATCGAGGCCTATTGTTGTCAGCTTACGACACGACACTGTAATGTTATCTGTACCATTAGTTGTTTTAAGATTTCCACACTTGCAATTTGCGCCTTCTTTTGTCAGTCCAGTATTAGCAATCATTTTTGTTCTTTTCCGCGGGCGCCATGTACCCCAGAGACAAGATGACAAAGCGGATAAATCATACTTAAGGAGGGATACATTACGCTTGTCACGTCGTAAGGGCACAACACAGGACGAGCTGGAGTTCTCGGCCCGTCTTCAAACAAATGCGAATTGGTGACTTTCTAGTCGGGCGCCGCCTCGCCTGGGGAATTATCCAGATGAATCCCTTTATGGTGTAAGGGAGCATATGGTCTGCACTACACAATGATAAGGTTTATGTCAGCTGTGCCGCTTATCACCTGATTTAGATGAGTTACACCTAGTTTATGTATTACTTTATATAGTCTTATGATTTCGGTAAAGTTTACTAAAGAAGGTGGGAAGGTAGAGTGTATCTGCAGGGAAGATCCTTTGCCTGTAAAATGTTTTGCCTATAATAACTTTGCAGCAACAATGACCTGAGTTATGTCTGACTTAATTAGTGTTTGTACAGGACAAGACGTTGATAATGAAGGCTTGGGAGGGGCACTGCTGCGTTATGAGGTATATTTCACGACCTAATTGATGAACTCATTTAAACAAGCCACCCCCCCCAAAAAAAAAAAAACACCACTATGTATTAGCTGAGCAATGGCACAGTTGACAAAGACCAGATCAGTTTGTATTGAGACCAGCACTCCCCAACACTATAGGATGCCATACTCTGTTAACCCCGGGTGGGAGGCGAGCAGCTGGAGACCGACCAATAACAACACGAGACAGAAGCCCTCATATTTTGTTTGTTTACATTTCTTGAAACGTTCTTGTAAACGTGTCTATAAGATTGTAAACGTTTCTATAAGATCTTTTTAATAATATATAAAATATCATAGAGAATATCAAATGAATGCATTGTGAATATGAAAATATGATATGTGATAATTGTTACGCTTACGAATGACTACAAAGTAG